CAGTATAAAATAGTTTTTTAATTTAATTCTTACAAAGTACAATATATAAGCTACAACATTATATTATATAAAATACTAGATGAAGGAGCCGCATATATGCGGGTTTGTAATTTAATCTCTTATATATTTGTGAAAAAAAAAAATTTGAATGTGGAAAGAAAAATTCGATCACCCGTTAAAATTAATAAAATAAAAATAAGAACGTTGGCGCAAAACAATTGATTGAAAAGCATAAAATTTAGTTCTATGTTGATGTTTTTGTTATTTAATTTACTTTTTATCACGTAGTTTCAAATTATTAATTTGTTTTTATTCCTATTTAAAATAGATTTACTTTTTTAAAGCTATTTTACTACTCAAATACCTATTTTAAAGATGTTGATGAATTTATTTTCATATTTATATTTGAACTATTTTTCCTCTTTAAATATTTTATAACTCGCAAAAAAAAAAGCAAAAAACAAAATTAGAACAGTCCATGAAAAATTGACAAAAAAGATGGATCCATAAAATAATAAAATAAGATTAAGAACATTAATACAAAACTACTCATTTTTTTGTCAACAATCACCTTATATTAAGCCAATTGCCACAAGTTGGATGGTTCTCCTCACATGTACAATATAAAATGAAAAGAAATCTATCAAATATTTGCCAATATTAATCTATTTTATTTTTATATTAATTGATTTTCAATCAAACTACATCACATATTTTCCAAATAATTAGATTTTCCTAATTCTCTTTAAGTTATGTTTATTTTTTACTACTTTACAAATAAAAATATTATTATTTTTAGATAGATAAATTTTTGACATGTGGCTAGATTTAATTGAAAATAATTCGTTTATATTTGTATATATCTGATCGATTGACTCAAACATGACCTGATAAGATTAATTATAACATGGACGAAGTTTGAAAAATAAGATACTTTTACTTTATTAATATTTTATTATTCGTCAAATAAAACCAAACAAAAAAGGGCAAATAAATTAAATCACCTCATATCAGTGATGATATCTATATTATAAATAATAAATTTTTATTATCAAATAGATAGTAATCGTTGCTTTCTTGATAGAAAAATCGAAAAAAAAATTATTGAAGAGATTATCGAAGTTCTAAATTTTTTGGTGAAAAGATGGAGAGAGCAAAAATGTTTAAATATATATGAAAATTATAATTTTTGAAGATTTGAGTACGTAAACCTAAGTCTATTCAAACTCAAAAAAAATTGCATATCTATATATTACATTATTTTATTGAGAAAAGATAATTGATTTGTTGTCTATCTGTTTAA